GGGGGAGGGGGGTATATCATACATAATGAGTGAGATGTGCACATCTGGGGATGTCATGATGGTGGAGACTGAGAACTTTTGGGGGAGGGGGGGAAATGGCGGTCATTTATTGAGAACCTTAAAAATCTGTTACCATAATATCGCAAATAAAAAATTAAAAAAAAAAAAAAAAGAAAGAAAGTGGGAAAGCACGCCTGGAGTTTCTCCCTCCGTTTTGTCCAGAGGCCACGTCCTTTGAGCTGCCTATCGACCAACAACATCTGTATAAATTTCTTCCAAGCCTGAGGGGTGACTATTTCATGAATTTCAAGTCCCTCATTTTTCTTTGTTTTGGCCTTCCCCCACCAAAGCATGCCATTTAAATTCTGGTGTTTTGAAGTGCTTTTCCCTGGCCCTCTACTGTCAAGGAGCATGCCAAGATCGTGCACCCTTTTTGCTGGAGTGCTGCCTGTATATTCTTTGGCCCAATTTGAACTTGTTTTTCCATCTCTAGTGTGGACAAGGTAGGAAACAGATGCTCTGCCCGCCGTGCATTCTTCAGTGATCACAGTTGCTAATATTTTTCATCGCATCAGCAGTTGGCTCAGCATGGATGTTAATGCCCCGTTTTGGGTGCGAGTCTGCGGCATGTGCCGGCGTGTGTGGAGCTTGGGAGAGAAACAGGTGGCACTGTTATAAACCGCGATATCAATTAGGAATGAGAATGTGAATGGGGAAAATGCAGGAAGCTGGTTTTAATTAAGCTGGAGGTGTGGCATGAAAAGATGGGCGCCGATGGTCCCGTAAATTCCAATCCTGTCGCGAAGGCTCCCTGCTGACTCTCAAGAGTTATTCTGGAGAAATCCATAAATGAGTGAATTTGGCATCTTTTTTTGGATACCTTTATTTGGTTTCTCAAGGACCCAAGAATATGCCCCAATATTTTTTTTTTTTTTTTATTTTTTTCCCTTTCTGGTGTTTGTTCGCCGATTCAGTTTCACCCCTAAAAAATTGTGCCCAAATAAATTCTCTGGGCTTCAAGGCTATAAAGTTTTTCCTTCCCTCCCCTGCCTTCCCTCAAATTCTGTTTTTTTGCTTCATGCCCTTTCCGAGACTCAGTTTACCACTTGCTTCTCCCACCGGAGAAAAATCATTTCCTGCGAAAATAACTAAACTACATAACAAAATCAGGAAGTTCTCCCCTCTGGGGTTGTTCTTTGACAGATCTACGCTTCACGTTTTAGACTGACGGTGCAGCGAGTTATGTCTTATATTATTCATGACGTTTTCCAGTTTCCTGTTTGGGCCGACTTTTTAACACATGCCACGTACATGTGTCTATTGGAAGCTGTTTCGTTGACCATGCGCAGCGACTGTGGCACGTGAAAGCAAGTGGTTGTTGCGTGTTATACCAAGCAGGTAAAGAAAGGAGCCTTTCTCTGCCTAATGAGAGACTGATCATGCCCAATATCATGGGAGATTTAAACAGGTAGAGAAGAGTTAGAAGTTAGAAAGGCGGTTGTGTGGTGATCTACTTTATTCAGATTCACAGGCGCGGGGGCTGTCTCCCCGTCCCGCTCACCGCGCCTCGCCTGTGCTTGTGACCTGACCGCAACCCCACTCGGTCGATCCTTTATTGATCTGTTGGATTTCCTCCTTAGTCCATGGGGTATGTTCTTCCCAAGTTGTTCTAGTGTCAAATACATTTATGTAATCCTGACTATGACGCTCCTGTTTGAGATGCATTGTGCACAGTAACTTTGTGGTTTCCAAAAAGTCCTGCACTGTTTGATTTCGTTTGGTGCAGTGGATTTCCAATTTGCAATCCTTCCTCCCTCTCACCCCCACCCAGCTGCCCCCAGAGCTTATCCACTCATCTGTCAGGGGACACTCGGGCTGCCTCCACCTTCTGGCTATCGCGAATAATGCTGGTGTGAACATGAGTCTGCAGCTACCTGTTCGAGTCCCTGCTTTCAGTTCTTTTGGGCATACATCCAGAAGTGGAATTCTGGTTGATAAAACAATTCTATTTTCATTTTTTGGGAGTTTCCATACCTGTTTCCACAGTAGGTGCACCATTTTGTATTCCCATCAGCAATGCACAAAAATTCCTGTTTCTCAACATTGTTTCTAGTATTTGTTACATTCTGTTTTTATTTTTTAAAATCATAGCCATCCTAGTGGGTGTGCAGTGGTATCTCACTGTGGTTGAGATTTGCATTTCTCAGTAATGAGTGATGGTGAGTTTCTTTTCATGTACTTATTGGCCATCTGTAAATCTTCTTTGGGGAAATGTCTATTCAAGCAAGTCCCTGGCCCAATTTTTAATTGGGCTGTCTGTTTTTATTGTTGACAAATTCCTAATTCTTTTTTTTTTTTGAGACAGTCTCACTCTGTTGCCCGGGCTAGAGTGCCGTGGCATCAGCTTTACTCACAGCAACCTCAAACTCCTGAGCTCAAGTGATCCTCCTGCCTCAGCCTCCCGAGTAACTGAGACTACTGGCATGCGCCACCATGCCCAGCTAATTTTTTCTATATATTTTTAGTTGTCCAGCTAATTTCTTTCTATTTTTAGTAGAGACGGGGGTCTCGCTCTTGCTCAGGCTGGTTTCGAACTCCTGACCTTGAGCGATCCTCTCCCCTTGGCCTCCCAGAGTGCTAGGATTACGGGCGTGAGCCATCGCGCCTGGCCCAGATTCCTAATTCCTACTGTCCTGGACTTGACTTCTGGGAAGAGAAGGACTGGCATTCATTTCTCTTCTACTTTCCTGTCCCCATCATGACTCTCCAGCAGTCATCATTTATTGCTTTCCTAGTTTGTCCTGTTCTCAAGCACACCAGACAGCTGCAATCCCTCCCACCCCTCCCACGCCCCACATCTCAGGCCCTCTTCTCTTTAGCTGTCGGCTCCTTGGAGGGGAGATTTCATTTAAGCCAACTGCCACGATCACCTTCCTCTTCCTTCCCGAAGGACTGTGGTCTGCTCTCTGATTTTAGCCACACTCACTCTGCTGACGTTGTGGTTTTGAAGTCTGAGGACTTCTAGCTCCCAGGTTTCCTGAATGTCTGATACTGGTGACTACCGATTCCTTCTTGAGGCCCTGTTGGCCTTGAAGGCCTTGAGGCCCTTCTTGAGGCCCTCCCCTCCATGATGCCGTGAAGGGGAGCGAGCAGGAGGAGGGTTTCCGTTGGACTCTGGCATGCGGGCACCTGGCCGCAGACAGCGTCTTCGCCCGGGAACTCACCCCGGGACCCAGGCCGGTAACATCGTCTCTCGGGTTCTCCCCAGTGAAGGGGGACATCAGCACCCACCTCGCAGCTGAGCCCTGGGGACTGCGTGGGAAATCAGTCCACAAACACTTAGAGCGGCGGCTGGCTGCAGGAAGTGTTTGTAAGCGTTAGCTGCAGCTGGAGCACTCACCTGGTCTTTATATCCATTCAGTCCCTTTTCGCCCTCATTTTTCTCCCTCCTTCTTGTTTTCTAAATTCTGTTCTTGGCTCTCTATTGCTCTGTTCCTAGACAATATCCCCTTCTTGCCATTCCAGCGTCCCTCTTTGTGCAGGCAGCTTCCAACCACGTCCCCGCTCTGCACGTCAGCGGGGGGCTGTGGCAGCGCAGAAGCGTGCTGGGAGGTCGTGTTTCCTGAGGACTTTCCGGCCCTCGTCAAGTCACGCCACATCAGCTGCCCCCGGGCTGGCTCCCGCACAGCCCTGCCAGGGCCACCTCAGAGACGGAGGAGTTTGACCTTTCACCGGTTTCTATGACTCACACTATTTTGAAGGTGAAGTCACAGATGTCACCCTGCGCAGTGGACCAAATGGACCACGCCAAGGGATTATATCCTGAGCGGATGTAAGGAGGGATTGCAGGGCTTTGTGGATCAACCGGATGAAATCACTGAAGACTTTAGAATGGGGTCTCAGCGGTCCCCAGCCTTTTCGGCTTCAGGGACCGGTGTCATGGAAGACGACTTTTCCACAGATTGGGGGGGATGGTTTCGGGATGATTCGGGCACACTACATTTATTACATTTGCAGCCGCTCCCCACAGCTAGCATCCCGCCTCCCTCCACCTTGGACCATCGGGCATTAGAGTTTCCCAAGGAATCTAGATCCCTCGCACGTGCAATTTACAGTAGGGTTCACGGTCCCACGAGAATCTAATGCCGCTGCTGATCTGACCGCAGGCGGCGCCGAGTGACCGGGGGCGGCTATAAACACAGGTGAGCTTCACTCGCTTTCCCGCCAAGCCGCTCACCTCCTGCTGTGCAGCCCAGTTCCTACAGTCCTTGGCCTGGGGGTCGGGGGCTGCAGGGCCAGATTGTCACCTGAGCGATCGCTAGCTCCGGGGCACTCTGAAGTACTTATTTGACTCTCACAAAAACGTTCGCAGGTGGTTAGTAGTGTTTTCTCCTTTTGCTTTTCCACTTGTCAGCCTCAGAGACAACTGAGTTTCAAGAGGTTACCTGTGCTCAGTCTCGTGACTAGCATGTGGCTGGATCCCACCTAGCTCTCGTGGATCCCAAATGCTGACCTCTTAACATCTTGATTACATTCTATATATGTCATTCTATAGATGTCATATATTCTATATATGTCATTTCACATTTTCCATTTCTCATTTTTATTCTGGTCCCCCTCTCCCCCCCCTCCCCGGGGGCAACTCTCTATGTTGATTGGCGCTCAGTCTATTTTAGGGAGAGTGTGTGTGTGTATTTATCAGCAATATTTTGTTTGAATATTTGGAGTAATTCAATCCTGCTTTTAGTTTTGTTATTCCTACTGTTTTCCAAAAACTCAAGTTTCCAAAATCCTTGAAAACCTAAGCCCTTTCCTTCCTTAAAAAAGAAAAATACTTAAGGTTATGCATTTACCTCTGAAAGCAACTTTGAATGCATCAAAGGAATCATACCTAGTATTCTCATTTGTCTTGTAATTTGTTATTGTACGTTTAATTTTTCATTTACGTCATGGTTAATTTTATTTCTGAGTGGTTGGGATTTTTTAATGATCTTTATTAAACTTAGTGTTGATTCCTGGTTTTATTGTATTGTATTGTGTTAAAGTTTCCGACCAGGGTGAAGTCCTAAATCACCTCCTCTTAAATCGGTCTGTAGTCCCTTGGTGGGTAGAAGTACATGTAGTTGTCATAATAGCAACACTGATTTACAGCGAATATGACTAGGATTTGAAAGTGGTGCTTGTAAGTCACTTATTTTAGTATAAACTCGAGTTTCCGTTTTTCCAGCTGACTTTTAACATTCAAACAGAATACATATTCTCAGTAAAATTCTTAGAGCTTAAAATTCTAGGTTTGTCTTTTATGGGGAAAATGGTCCCAGCCTGTTTTCTAACAACCACTACTCAAAACCAGATACCTGTGAAAAAATTAAGAGGCATTTTTTAAAGCGGAACAGGAGGACTTTCTAACAGCCCGTCAATGTTTAACAATTTTAATGAGCTTTTAGAACGTGTCATGTTTTAGCTGTGAATCATTTCGCAGTAGAGTCTGTGGCTTTCCTGCCAAAGTTATCTTTAGTGAGAGCTGGATACTTGCAGCCAGATTTGGAGTGACGTGAGTGTGCGCAAAGCTGGAAGCAGATTCCACGAGAGACCCAAACGTCGGAGGGGGCTGTTTAGAGTGTCTGAGCCTTGTTTCTCTCAATGCGCCCTCTGACGATCTTCGCCACATTCTCCTGCCGCTCCCATTCCAGGGACTAACTCAGAACGGCTTGGGAATCGGTGACTTGGGTGAATGAACTCTCTCTCTCCCCCACATTCCTGGCTTCCTTCGTCAACTCATGGCATGTGTGCGGACTTTAAGCTTTCAAGTGCGAGACGGTGACAGACACAGGGGATGACTTGCATTTGCCTGGGAGATGGGGTTTGCGTGTTGGCACCTTCTTTCCCTTCCCATGTGCCGAATTAGGCCAAGCTCATTTGGTTTCAGCGAAGGCGGTTTTCCTCGGTTCACTGAGAAGCCGTGATTGCCTAGTGGTGACCAGAGGAGAAAGGGCGGTCCTGGGAGGTAAGTCGAGGCAGGAATACCAAAGGAAGGTGGGACGCACCTCCGTGGAAATGGCTCCCTGCTGTCTTTAGCCTTTCGCTTAACGGTCTGTCTACCCTTTGATGGCTGTCCCTGCCTGTAGAGTGTTCTCCTGGCAGAAATAAAAATATATTGGGGAAAAATTACATGGAAAAAACCCATTTTTTTTTCCTTTCAAAATATTCATAGAGAAAAGAGGAAACATACACTGACACAACTGAATGAGATGTTCCTGTGGGCAGAATCCCACCTCATGTTGCTATGACTGTATTTGGTGCTTAGCAAAGTATACAGAAGGCACATGGCAAATACTCAGGTAGCGGCTGCTTGGGGTCATTATTTTCGTGCAGGGAAGGTAGTAGTCTTTGGAGCTGCCATAACAAAGTAGCACAAACTGAGTGGCGTAAGCAGCACAAATTTATTGTCTCGCAGTTCTGGAGGCCGGAAGTCTGAGATCCACGTGTTGGCAGGTTTAGTCCTTCTGAGAGCTCCAAGGCAGAATCTGTTGGATGGTTCTCTCCAGCTTCTGGTGGCTGCTGGCAATGCTTGATGTTCCTTGGCTTGCAGAATCACCACCCCATCTCTGCTGTCATCTTCACATGGCATTCTCTCTGTGTGTGTGTCTGGGTCCAAATTTCCCCTAATTGTAAGTTCCTCCTCTTAACGAATTACATCTGCAGAGATCCTATTTTCAAATAAGGCCACATTCTGAGGGACTGGGGGTTAGGACTTCAGCGTGTGAATTTTAAGGGACACAGTTTTAACCCATCCCAGTAAATATTTATTAACTCCCCCAGAAAATGTTTACTGAGCATCTATTATGTGAAATGTACTGTATGAGGTATTCTGATTTAATGAAATATGGTAAAGTATTTCCTGTACCCAAGCCACCCGAGTAAGGAAGTAGAGACGTACAAACAAATGACTGTGGCACAGCTATGTACAGGTGTGCACGAGGAATTGTGGGCACCAGGAAGGGGGTGCTGGTCAAATCTACTTATTGGGGGAGATGTCAGGGAAACCTCCCCAAAAGAGCAATGTTTGAACTGGATACAAGGGATTAGGAGGCGTTCACCGTGTAGACCAGAAAGGACAGTACGGAGACCGGAAACAGGGTGGCGTGTTCACAGAACTTTATGCCATCCTGCGGCTGAGCGTAGTGTGCGCTGCGGAGGGCATGGGTTGCCACCGGCAAGGTTTAAGTGTTGGCGTGACGCTGTTGGACGTGAGGTTTTGACAGGTTCTCCTGGCTGGCGGCATGGAGGCTGGCATGGAGGTGCAGGCTGCAAGACAAGGCGGTGGGAATGGGCCGGCGTCTGCTGCTGGTGACACTGAACTCCATGCCCCGTGAGCCTAAAAGGAGCAGGCGGGTTAGCGGCGTCCGTGGGAGGCCCAGTTGGCGTTGGGATCTGACAGTCGGGGTGGGGTGGGGTGGGGTTGGGGGGAGGCAGTGTGGATTTGGGGATTATTTGGGGTGTAACCAAGGAGGTGGATAAGGAAGACCAGGTTGAACAGGAAGAGATAGTCAAGCACACCTGCATTTTGGGAGCAGGAGCAAGGAGAGCCGATGAAGGAGATGGAGAGTGGAAAATCAGAAAGTGCAGAGAGCCAGAAACAAGCGCACCCGAGCCGTCAAGGACCTTGGCAATTACAAGAAGAAACGCCCAGTGGCACAAACAGGTCGTGGAAGGTAAAGCCCTCGTAACGCCCGGGTGACTTGGCGCTAGTCTTGATGTTTGTACCTGTCAGTCTCACCTGACCCACCTCACAAGTCTGATACCCAGGAAGCAATCTGCATCTGTAATTTTTCAAAGAACACCGAGGATGGGTGTCCAACACCATTTAAAATCTTCTGTGTCCCCGAAGCCCCCTGTGTTCCCCTGCCTCCTTTCTCCACGCTCTCCGAGTCTCTCGGATCCAGACCCCGCCGGCCCGTGCCTCGCCTTCCCTCCGGCGCCTCGCGTCTTCCTTGCCCGCCCTGTGCTGTTCCTCTCGTAAGCCGCTGCCTTTCCCAGCGCTCTGCGCGAGTGACGAGCTGGCGAAGGCGGTGCCCTGGGTAGGCTGGGGACCAGGACTAGACTCTGGGGGTCCCACGTTAATTATTTCCAGGCCCAAAGCAGGCCACTGGTGACTTTTGGCAGGGCGGTTTCAGATGAGCAGCGGGAGTGGAAGAGATGGGGCTCAGGGCTCTAAGGAAAAGCTGACCACGCCAAATGGCGAGGAGGGCGCGAGTGGTGCAGCCCTGGGACCGGGTGTTGGTCGTTACAGCGTCTGGGCGTGACTCAGTGCACAGCTCTGCTTCTACGCCAGTGGCTTTTAAACTCTTTCGAACGACACTAAAGCCCTTTTACGTGGTGACTCCCTACACACATGTGGCCCAACCAACAATGTTCGCACTGACCCTTCCCAGGTTTTCTAATATTTTATTACATTCAATTTTCTTTTCAACGTCTGGTCTTATCAAATTGACTTTATGATGCTCTAATGGGTCATGATGCAGAATCTGAAAAAAATTGCACGTTTTGTTCCTTCCCTGAGGAGTAGAGGAAGGTCGGAAATGAAGGACAGGGTGGGGTGGGGAGGAGCAGGGTGTGTGTTGCTGGGGTGGGGTGGGTCGGGAGGGAAGTGGCCGCTCACGCCCGTTTCTCAGGACTGGTCGCCTGGAGGCCCCACTGACCGTCAGACGGTGGGGACGTGTTGGGGAGCCGATGAGGGGGCTGTGTCCGCCACTCTCGGCCACATCTCCTGTTTCCTGCATTCAGTCCCCTTCCTAGGCCATCGTCTGCGGTGACGGCTGGCTCAGGTGCCCATCCTTCCTCCTAGCTCTTCCTCCTAGCTGCCAGCTCTCCTCGAATGTCTGCCGTGGGTCGCTCAGATCCGTAAGCGAAGGTCTAGGTTGTGCAGCCTGGGAAGTGTGAGTGAAGTCTCTTGGCCACTGCACAGGCCAGTGTTTGGATCCCTGCAGGGGGCTTGCGCCTCCCCCATGAGTGGGATTCTTGGTTCTTTTTTTTTTTTTTTTTGAGACAGAGTCTCACTCTGTTGCCTGGGCTAGAGTGAGTGCAGTGGCATCAGCCTAACTCACAGCAACCTCAAACTCCTGGGCTCAAGCAATCCTCCTGCCTCAGCCTCCCGAGTAGCTGGGACTACAGTTATGCGCCACCATGCCCGGCTAATTTTTTCTCTATATATTTTTAGTTGGCCAATTAATTTATTTCTATTTTTAGTAGAGACAGGGTCTCAACTCTTGCTCAGGCTGATTTCGAACTCCTGACCTTGAGTGATCCTCCCGCCTCGGCCTCCCAGAGTGCTGGGATTACAGGTGTGAGCCACCGCGCCCGGCCGGATTCTTGGTTCTTGACCAAGTGTCTTCGCCTCAAAGTGTTGCCCAGAGCGTGGGAACCTGCCTCAGGCCGAGCCCAGTGACCTTGAACCCAAGGAGCAGAGGCCATGAAGTCTTGCTCACTGCTATTAGAAAAACAACTCGAAGCACATTCCCCCTTGGTGTCTGGGCAGTGGGATCTTCCTGCTTTCCCAAAGCGAGTGGAGGCAGGCACGGAAGGCGTTCGTTGCCATCGCTGTAGAAATTGTCCGCCTTTTACAAGCGTGTCCCACTGTGAAGTCAGAATGTCCAACTATGCTGTCCGCAGGGATGTTGAGGGCCCGGAAAAGCCCACCATGGGAGGACGTTGTAGCATGAGACAAATGGTGAGGGCTGCAGTTTACAACGGGCGGTCTCAAGCGTGGGCCTGGCTGTGTGAACCAGCGCTGATATTCGGATTCGGCGTTTCGCTCATTCTTAGGGTTATCTTCTGTTAGGGCCGAGAGGTAGCTGTGTGTGGTTTCACCTGTGAAGAGAGTTCCCCACAACTGGAGGAAGTAGGAGGCTGAGGGCGATATGCTTTTGCTGGCATAAAACAAATGCATAAAATCGTAGCATGTTGGCCAGCTGAATTTAGTGGTGCTATTCAGCTGGAATAGCCACTGCCTCCCTGTTGTATGGAGGGAACAGCCACATGGGCGTTCCCGGCCGTGCCCTCTTCTGTTCCTCCAGGCTCCTCCGCTGCTGCCTGCCTGCCAGAGACTTTTGTTTTCCGGGCGCTGGGGACAGCTCAGCACCCACCTCACCGGCCCGGCCTGCTCTGGGCCATGGCAGGTCCCCGCACGCCCCACATTTTCCTACTCCTTCCAGCCCTCTGCTCGCTCAGCTTCATGCTCTGCCCAGGCTCTCGTTAAAGACAAAGCTGAATCCCAGACAACCTGAACAAAGGCCGTTGACTCATACACTTGCCACCAGGGAACCCAACTGTCACAGCTCTTCCCGCGGCGGCTACACTCAGAGGTGCTAGAAAGGAGAGTGCTTTTTCGAGCAGAAGGAGGGAACACGGCACAGGGCCCCACGGGCAGGCGTTCTCGGAAGGTGGCAGATTTGGAAGCGGGAGACTTTCTCTTTGGTGCCCGGGCACATTTGTCAGCCCACAGTTGGCTGCAAGGGGGGGGGCACACGGGCCTTTCGGGACACCTTGAAAGAGGAAGACTCGCTCACTCTTTGGGGTTCGGGGAGCTTTCTGTGGCCGGCCGTTTCCTGGAGCAAGTGGGGGTCAGAGGGTTGGCTTTTGGTCCAGCTGTCAAAGAATCTTAAGAGCTGCTGAGTGAACTGCCCAACTGTAAACATGCCAGGATTCGGCTCCCGTGGCTTAGGATGATGGATCATGTTCACAGATGGAAATTTTAGAAACCCCATGGTCAGTTTCATAACACACATTTCATTTGTCCTGTCTTACTGTTGGGAGTTAAGAGAAAGCCAAAGATGTAGTCCCAGCCCTAGCAGAGATTCTGATGTTGGAGCCAAAGGAAATAAAAAGCTATGCAGAGAAGAAGCACATGCATAGCATTGACACTGGAGGTAAATAAATACAGCTGCCAGCATTTAGCCACTTGGTCCCAGGGGTTAGGCACAGGGCGAGTAAGAGCTGGAAGATGAT